AACTCATCCTCTCCTATAAACCCATAACACCGATCCAAAGGAAGAAAAGTGAGCAACTGAGATTCCAACAATAATATACATAATATACAATAATATATATCTATACGTGTAATACAATTGTTGAATAATAATTTCCTAATAACTTTCGAACACTTTTTTTAAAAAAAAAAAGTTCTCGTCTCGAAACTCACCCTCTCCTATAAACCCATAATACCGATCCAAAGGAAAAAAAGTGAGCAACTGAGATCCCAGCAATATACATAATATAATATACATCTATATGTGCGATACATTTGTTGAATAATAATTTCTTAATAACTTTCGAACACTTTTTTAAAAAAAAAAAAGAAAAAGAAATGTCTCGTCTCGAAGAAACTCACCCCCTCCTATAAATCCATAACACCGATCCAAAGGAAGAAAAGTGAGCAACTGAGATCTCAACAATAATATACATAATATACAATAATATACATCTATACGTGCGATACAATTGTTGAATAATAATTTCTTAATAACTTTCGAATACTTTTTTTTTAAAAAAAAAGGAAAAGAAACGTCTCGTCTCGAAGAAACTCACCCCCTCCTATAAATCCATAACACCGATCCAAAGGAAGAAAAGTGAGCAACTGAGATCCCATCTCAGCAGTTGCCTCCCGTTCCCCAGAGATAACAGCTCCGTCCGAGCCGAGCCGATCCGCACAGGCCTCTCCATATAGAAACGTACAACGTAGCGCCAGCGCCTTCCTATTTCGACGAGAGCTTAACACGTTCGTAGCGGGGCCGTGGCGAGCGAGGCAAGCTCGCGCCCGTATCATTTCCACGGGCTGATTTATTGCATTATTCCAAGCGTCGAAGGCCGGACAACCGTGGCAACCACGTATGGTTGGCACCAATCGGGTCCCTGTTAATTCGATCTATTTTCTAGGCTGCCTCGCCGAGGCCTAGGGTGCGTGGTGGAGGCCCGATTATCCGATCATACGCGCGCATACCGAGCACAGAGAAAGGAAGGAGGAGAAATAAGAGAGGGGGGGAGGAGGGCGCAGAACAGAGGAGTTATTCTCGTTCTGCTCGTTTTTTTCTTGAGCGAAGGAACGAGGAAACTATGGGTTTCTCGTGCACCACGGGCTCATCGCCCGTCGCTGCCTAGGCCGGATTAATTATGCGCGATAAAGTGCGTCGGACACGTGTAGCTACATGTGCCGTACGTGCGCCTATGTCGCCGTCGCGACGTCACGACCGATCAGATATTTCCTGAAATAATGCCGCTGCCTCTCACCTTCCTCCAACCCGTACGACGATCGTCTGCCCGCTCGGTGTGGAGTGCAACTTCCAACTGTATCTGCATTGCGTTCCCGTTCTGAAGAGGGAGGGGGGTTGCATTGGAAATTATTATCGTACCGTTCGATTTTCAACGTTTTGTTTATTCGGGATATTTTCCATTTGGACTGGTGTTGGAATAGCGTGTTGAAAGAGAATTTGATTCGGGTATTTTATTTAGGGAGAAAACAGGATATTTGAATCGTGAAAATTTATGGATAAAAGAAGTTGTGTGAAGGTGGGTTTTTATTATTTTTGTATTTTGATTACGATGGAATGGAAGACAGGAGAATTTGTTTTGGATGATGAATATTGGAATAGAATTATTTTGACGAATTTTTAAACTTTTTGTTTGTGTAATTCAACAAAAATCTAGAAATTTATGGAAAGATTTTTCTAAATAAGTTTTAGATCTCCTTTTTTCTTATACGCATTTAATTCTTGAAAAATATACCGTTAAATTACTTTTTTTATCGACCACTTTATTTACTAAATTTAGTCTTTATGATACGTGATAAATGCATATTTTAAAAACCTGATATTAGATAATTCTTACTTTTTTTTTAACACTTTAAAAAAAATCTACGATAAAACAATATTTTTTTAAAAATTAAATGCAAAGCACGAAGGGATGATATCGAAGTTAAGTTTCCATTACGTGATGCGTGTATTTTTATGATAAGGAAAATTGTAAAAAATTTATCTTGCACAAATATCGAATGGTACGCGTGTCTTGAATGAGGATGTAAAAAGAAATTGAAAAAAAAAAGTGACAATTTACCTCGT